TTTTCTATCTGGAATATATGAGAGACTCCATGTGAGTAAAATATAGTCACATAAATTCAAAATGAAGTATTCTCGTTGGTCATTCTGTGGGGAAATTGGTGCCAACGACCGTCCTAAACTGCAATGTGTGTATGGTGTCTCAAACTCTAATTTTCCCGTAGTACACGTAGGTAGATTCCATGACTTCCTATGGCCGTGAGAGGTTACAGATGGACGTGTGGTACCTTATAATCATCAAATTATGCACCAAACATGCCTCACATCCCATATGGGCCACTCGGAGGGAATTTCCCAAGTAGAGCTAAATCACCACCAAACCTAGCTACTTGCCCCAAACAAGTGTCAGAAGGTCTCGGGTGGGTGTCTTGAGCTATCAAATGCTACAGATGACCGTAGACCATTCTAAGCCATGCAGGCGGACACCCTATACTATCGACATAAAAAATTGATGCCAACATCGCCATTTCTATCAAACAAAGAGGGACTACAATCAAACTTTAAGAAAAAGTCTAGAAAAACAATTAAGAAGCATACAACAACATCAATACCTGCAAAAGTACAGCAATTGAAATGCTGAGGGTACAAGAAGGGATAAAATAGTGGAGTTCCCAACTGTGACAACTGACACATAGATCTGAAAACCAATGTCTAAAAAGACACAAAAGTAATGATGCAACGAAGAAAGGAACTAGGTCCCATAGGTGTAAGCAGGACTCCTAAAATGGAGAGAGAGTCTCTTACCCATCACTAATTTATTTTTGTTTTTTTTTCATCTTATTTTTGAAGGAGCTGTCAGTTTGTCTATCGATGTATAATTCTCTTTTTTGAATAAATCTCTCTTCCATATCATATGAATGTTCTTCAGAAGAGATGAATAAAAAAATAAGTAAATACGACGATGAGTAAAAACAAGAAAAATCATGTGGAGAACTTTCGTGAAGAAAAATTCGCATGATAGCCTAAGAATGTACGTCAAAAAAAAACGAGACCGGGTCGAAAATGCCTTGCAAGTATATCTACGAAGAATACCTACGAGTGCAACTCACAACTAGAGATTCAAGTGTGTATACTTGTTCTGGGGTCAAGGGTAACTCTCACAGAGACACATCCCTTTGGTTAATTACATCTTGGGGGTGCCCATGAATACTCTCGATAAAAAGAATAATGCTTACGTTTGTATAACGACTACTAAAGAGTGTGATAAAGGATGGTTATCTCATAGTAGCATCTCAATGCCCTCAAAGCTCATGTCGATCCATACGGGTAGAGAGTGAGTCTCTCACGATCCTATACAGATGGCGGCTTATTGGCGATTAGGGCCTATGAAATAACTGGATCGTCTTGTCCACACTATGTTTCCAAGGCCATACCAAGCCATCAGGGTAGGGTTAATCATCGTATCCCAAATGGATGGTGGTCTATCCACAATCAGAATCTGTGAGACAACATCGACGAAGCGTCAAATGGATTGAAGTTGCTCAAAGTGGGAAAACAAGGAAAGGGAAGAGTAATCCTAATTGAGAAAAAATAGCCGGGTTAGGATACCGCAGATCCATCATTCCAAGTTATTAGGACCCCAAGGCTGCCTTGTTATGAAGGTAGTCGACCCAACACGACCAGAGATCCATTGTCAACAAATCGGGAATTGAGTCGTCAACCCAACATAAGCGCCTAAATAAAAAAATTATGTGGCCAGTCGGGTTGAAGAAGCACGTGGACTTCTCCTCGGGACAAAAGTTCATATTAGTCCTAATGTGGAAGCTCTATTAGTATGATGTGGAATATAGCTATGCAATGCAACCCGTTTAAAATTCGGCCCAAAAACTATGTAGAAAAGCAAATGTAGATTTTGAAAATACTGAATATTTTAAGTCTAAATGTTAATTAGTCTCAAAATTTTATTATTAAACTATTTATAAAAAAGTTCATAAAACATAAGGTCCTAAAGAATCTAAGTGATCAACACGATTCCCAGACAAAATCACCAAGTCAAAAAGAACGAAACTAATTTCAAGCACACAAGCATGCAAGTAAAACAATAAAGCAAGCCAAATACACAATAATAGATGGTCGGGTGCCACTGGATCGACAATATATCACAGAAACAGAAAAAGACGGTCGAACACCACATAAGTACCCACCTGCTCCTAATTTTTTATATAAATGAGATTTAAAATCAAGGTAATCGTCATAATAGCATTCTTCTAGCACTTATTGCACTTGACTCAATGTTGAAAAAAGAAGCAAAAAATATAGTTAAATTCTTAATAAAAAACATGCCATCAATGATGAAATACCTCACCACCTACATAACAAATTAAGCATTATTTTGAAATTTATTATGATCTTATTAGTAAAGTAAAGCTTTATCTTAGCCATCCATCTATAGACTTCATCTATATAAATGGCCTTTTGACAACATCATTATTTTTTATTTATTTGGTCAAATGGGGGGTTGGCATAGATGAAAGAAAAAATTGAAAGAGGTAGAATTATAAATAATGTTTCTCATAGGAATTAAATTTTCACAAAATTTGACTCAAGAGTGGGTTTAGAGCCCACACAATAAGCGACTGAATCAAGCCAAAATGTGAATTATGTCAAAATTGCATTACTTTGTTGATGGACATCATTTGTGTTAAACTAGTCGGCCGGCATTGCCGATTCAAATGCCCCTTACTAAGCAACTTCTCAAACAGTGCTTTCAAAAATAATAATGCATTGTCCACCAGTCACTCTCATTGTGATACAATCATATTTTTAGTAGTCAAAATTCCTCAAATAGTGGCAACAAGGCATTAACTAATAGAATTAATCATTTTCTTGAATTATGGTGAAGATTTTGTTGACAGTAAGTTTTGAAAACTTTAAATGTTTTTTTTATTCTTGGGATCTACTTAACATTTTAGGGTCTATTTGGAGCGATGACAAGAGTGCGGAGCGACGCCGGTTGCGGCTTCGCGATTTATGGTCGTTTGGGGCGGCGATATTCGTAGAACGCGAAAAGCCAAAACCGACCCGCGTCCAAGCTTCATGTTTCGCCCTTTTACCCCAAGCCCCATTCCGCCTTTTTACCCCGTCCGAAACAAATCCGGCCACAGGCAGAAAAGAATCGCATGCGACGAGCTTCTCCCCTCTCCTCCTCTTCTCCGAAGGTCTTCCTCCTCCTCCCACGCAATCGCTTGGGACATTGGTGCTTAAGGGACCTTATTTCTGTGCAAGGTGCTCAAGGGATTCTGCTTTTCTGATGCCATAGTGGAGCAACTTGGACCTAAGCTTCTGCAAGTAACTGCCACAGCTAGTATCATTAGTTGAGGACATGTGGATGTTTTTTCTCTTCTTTTTGCTTCTTTTTAATAGAACTAAGTAAATCTGAGCCAAAGATTCCCCATTTCTTTCAGCTTTTCTACATCTGCAAGCAACACTTGGGGCGTTCCGGTGAGTTATTTGCAATTTAACCAAAGTTATAATTTTTCTTTGTTTCTTTTCTTTTGTTTGACCTGGCTTTGAATTATCTGTATATTCACATACTTATGGAAATCACAACTCTGATGTTTTGTATAAATTTATCAGTGCTGCTTCACTCTCCAAAGAAAATTCATTAAAAATCAGAACCATAATTCTATTTGATTGTAATTTTTATCAGCCTTTTATGAAATGCTAGAACTTGCAAGCTTGAAAAGGTTGTTGGCTTATTTTTCAGGAAAAAAATGATCTAAGCTATTTTTGAAAATTTTGTGAATATTTTGATATTGGCAAGCAGTTGTAGTCCCTTGAAACAAACTCTATGTGCCATTCTTATGGAGAATTGCAAACTTATCCTATCTTTTCTAGTTTCGTTTAGCTTTCTATTATTTTCTTTGATGTGAAATCATGCATTGAAGGATTGCTTTACAGGGTGTTTTGTAGGATGTATTTCTACCTTAAATTTGTGCCTCAAATAGTTTACTATCATTATCATTATCATTATTATTATTCTTCTTATTTTTTCTTTTTTGTTTTCCTTCACAAACTAATCAGAAGTTCTCCATGAATCAAAGGAAATAAGCCCAATTTATATTTTTTTGTCAATATATGGTGACGATACCAAAAGCTAAGTAACTTTCAGGTTAACTGAGAATGATTACTTGCTTGGGAATTGCTATCCTGTTTTCATGGTAATTTATTTGTCTAAGATGTTAAAATTCTCTATTTGAATTGTCCAAGCCGTCATTTTCTTCAAACCCAACCCATTTATTTATTGATATATTATCATTATGATTTCCAAGCTGAAATCCATCATGGAGCAGCTTGGACGGCCCAAGAATCCTAGGGTACCTGTTGCATCCCATGCATCAATGTTAGATATATAGCAGACGACGTTGCTTGAAAAGATTGAGCTTAAGGTGAATCTGAGCCTCCAGTCAACCTTTTTATCCTCCACATTTTTTTTTCAACTTAATGCATCCAGAGGAGGCTTAGGGGCTGTGGTCATTTGTATATTCTGCTTTGAAATGAATTTCTGCTTCTGAAGTATCAAATATGTCGTTATCACAGTTCTGTTTTAAAGAACTTCACTAAACATGGACATAATCATTTTTCTAGAAACAACTGTCCCACAGCTGTTTTCACATAGCTGCAACAAACAGACAGTCAGCTTCCCGGTAGCATCTTCCCCACAACAGCTTTTTGGGGCAGCACAACCGCAGCTGAAAAGCTGAGAAGCTGTAACTGCGCCAAACAGACCCTAAGTTAACACCAATAATATCAGATAGAGCTTGGCAAGCAACAAAGAGTAACAATTCTACAATATAATAGAAATCAGTATGTTTACAAATTACAATAAAAGCTTAATATAGAACCTTCACATCCTCAAAAAACAAATATTTGACATGTAAGAAAAGGGGGAAAAAACAAAGAAATAAGAATCTATGATGCAGGAGCAATCATACAACAAAATGTAGGAAGAATGACAAAGTATTCACAGCAAACTCATAAATCAACCATGGCTTCCACTTCAGAACAAAGGAGGCAATCATCACTCTTTATAAGCAGCTCAAAGAGGAGTTTTTTTCATAACGATTCGAATAGAAAACTTTCGTTCTATAAACAAGAACCAAACTCAAGATAACTGCAATGATGCTAAATCCAGACATTATCATTGAAGAGTAGAAGAAGCAAATCGCTCCCTCACACCTCAGCCCCTCTTCTTCCAACCTATCTCCATGTTTCTGTCTCATGTGAGCTTTCCTAGAGGCTTCATAATCATATATATTACTTACAATAAGTTCTGAGAATATCAAAGAGCCTGCAGGGTTTGCACAAGTGAGAAAATTATAGAAAGACCCAAAATTTCTCATACCAAACAGCTCTGACGCTGCAGCTGGGGCGATAGCCCAGTGAGCTCCAAAGCCGAGCCCTATTACAAGTGTTCCAACGTACAATGATCCCGGCAAACCCATACCGATGAAAAAATGTCCTACTGCCATTACACCCTGAGAGACTGCCAGAGCTAGAGGCCTTGGATATGCATGATCCCTGCAAAAGGGCAGAATGACGCGAGAAGAAATATGATTTTCTAGAAGGAAATAAATTGAGTCAAGATGGATTTTAAAAGCAGTGGATTTGCCTTAAGATAAGTGCAATGCAATAGTAGATTGATTAATCACGTGTTACACTGATTTCAAAATAAATTTAATAAATTTAAAATCCCATGCTGATCAAATTTAGTTTAGGATTTCTCCTTTCTTAAATATGACTGATTAACCACTGTTTTTAGTATGCTTTCTCAGATGCTATTTTTCCAAATCAAATTTTGGGAAAAGTAAGAGAAAATTCTTCAATTTATTTGTCCAAACAGATGCTATGTGTTTTTGCAACAACAACAACAACAATCAAAAAGTTGCACCAAACGGCTCAAAATCAATTCTTTGTCAGTTGAAAGATATGAACTTCAAATATAGAACTTAAAAGTAGAAAAGTCTGTTTTTGAACATTTATCATACCTCACAATTATTTCTGACAGGTAGCCGCCAACAACTCGGCCAAGAAAATTCCATATACTAATCAATGACACGAAAATGTGTGGTTTATCGTAGCCCAAAGACTGGCTCATCTGTCCTAAATTATCCATAACAGTTAAACCTGAACCAGATCCCAACAAAAGAGAGATAAACAAAAGCCAAAAGTCTGCCTCTATGAAAGCCTGACACAAGGTGAAATTCTCCCCCCTATTCAACCCTCTCCTGCTCTGCACCCTTACAGCTCCCACAGGTGCAGCCTGAAACAGTTCTGCTTGCACCTGCTGATTCATCATCATCCTCTTTGATTCAGGAAGCAAATCAACCTCGTCAGACTTCTCAACCTCTACCTCACAGACCATTAGTTCGTCCGGCTCCTCCCTTTGAGACTCGGATAACAGACCCTTTCGATCGCTTGAAGCAGCATGAGAACCAAAGGTTATGATTAAAGGAATTGTGATAGGAGATAGAAGTAGAATGATCAAGGCAACAGTAAACATGATAATGAAATTATGGCTCAAGTTAACAAGGTCTTGAAGGAGCATGGTAGCCATCAAGTAAGCAGCTAAAAGCAAGCATAAGCTATAAATGAAAGCAAAGCTGGAGTTGTCTGAAGGCTGGACTTGCTTGGGCACAGCTACCGGTCTAATAATGAACATAAGGGCTATTACAACGATGGAAGGTCCGACAGCAACCATAAAAATGAGCGCAGCATCATCAGGAGAGCGTATTACGGTGTATATCTGAATCAAAATTGCACCACTCAGGCCAGCAAAACCTTTCAAGATGCCCACTATGGGCCCTCTGCTGTTAGGAAAGTTCTGCAAGCAAGAAACCAGTGCTGTTGTATTGAAGTATGTTTCTCCATTGTTACCAACAAAGAGAAGAATGCACATCTGTAAAATGTGCAGCAGGTAAGCATAAAATGACCATAAACTATGAAGCAGAATTCAGCAAAAGCACACAATGGGCGGCACACAAGTTTTCTTTTCAGTGTAAAGGGAAATTTGGTTTTTTTTCACCAAAGATGGTTTTTTTTTTTTATCATTAAAAACTGCATTTCCAACTGCTGTTTTGAATAATTCTAGCTCTTTCAGAACTTTTTTACAAATTTCTGCTAAATTCTAAATTCTTTTCAGAAGGCTCAGTTTCATTGTTCGCTCAAAATCCATCCATCTATGAAATTAACTAGAACCACTAAATCCCAGCGAAATCTTACAAATAAGAGATTCACAATCAACTATAACAAAAATCCCTAAATTTATGAAAAGCAGGAAAACGAACTACTCACCCAAACAGTTAATACTGTCGGGAACCAAAACCATCGACGGATTTGAAGGCAGACGAATTTAAACTCACCGCCCAAAGAGGCAGAACCGACACTCGTCCGGTGATGATGAGCCAGATCCAGCCATATCCCATAACTTTCTTCAAAGCGCCGATGAACAGAACCGACCAGAGAGGGAGAAATTCACAGAGAATTCCGGCGGGAAACCCAACGCTGCCGCCGAGATCCTTGGCGACACCTAGGGCTGCGATTTGGCGCTGGTTGTAGCCCATATAAACCTTAATCACAGGCGATATGCCGCCGAAGAGATATCCCACCCCGGCGACGGACTGTACCCATATTGCGCCGACGAAGACAAGCCATCGGTTGTTGAAGAAAGAACACGGAGGAGATTGAAAACTGTTCATTTTTAGGGCAAAAGTTGCGATCTTTGAACTTTCTGAAGTAAACCTCAAGAGATAAAATCCAGGAGGAAGACGGTGACTGGTACAACTAGGCTCATTTGAAATAGAATTTAAACTTTTGAGTGAAATTTATAAATAAAATAAAGAACGTTAGTTATATAAATAGTTTTATGCGTGTATCAAAACCATAAATATATTTTATTTTCTTCTATGGAATGGAGGCAAAGTCAATGCAGTCAAAATTAACTAGAGGAGTAAGGCTAATGACCAATTTGGAGCAGCTTATTTGATGCGGTGATACTTTGAAAACACATTTGGTCTGTTTGGGTAAACTGTGTTTTGACAGTTTATACGTTTTCAAAACACTAAAAATAACATTTTCACACCGCACATATCTAGGTGCTGTAGCAAATTTCTTGCAACGGTCTGACTTTTTCAAAAGAATAAAAATTTATAATAGTCACCGTACCTAACTTATCAACAGATTATTTTTAATCAACATCAGCAGATTATTCAATAAGTTGCAGCTGCTAGATAAACTCAAGTGATTTAATTATTCAATTATTTAAAAACATAAAAAAAAATCTCTTAAATAAAAATTATTGGTTTTGATGAGGGGTTATTGATTTAATCATTTATATGTTATTTACTTCATAACTAAACTTAAAATTTAAAAATCTCTAATTAAAATTGTGATGAGGAGTAAATAATTACAAGGAATATGAAAATAAATTTAAAAGGGAAACTTACATACCCAGTACATAATTTTTACGTATTTACATATCCCACACATATCATTTATTTATTTATATACATTACACTTTGGTGCACTTTAAAACTATGCTCGAAAATATGCAAAAATTTGGGTGCTATTTGTGCCAAAGTAAGAACAACTTCGTGTTGTCGCATCCGCCCGTTCCGTAAAAACTTTTTTTTTTTTTTTACGCAGCATTAACATACAAACCACAAATATGTATTTACATATCCATCACATCCATCTCAAATCTTTAATATTACATCAAATATGTCACTATTATTTATTTATTTTTTTATAAGTGAAAAGACTTGCAAGTGTTATAAATGCAAATATGAAAGTTAAGGTGTTAGATATATAAATACATAAGAAATGTGGGGTAAGTATGTAAATTTCTCATAAATTGAATCAAATATAAAAAAATGCCAAATGCCGGAGTTGCTAATGTCTAGCATCATCTAATCACTGGAAAACTGTATCAAAATATTATAAAAAATACAATCTTAATCATATAAATGGCAAATAACTATGTACAATGCTGCATATGCCCTGTTCTACACCTAGTGGTTGCTCGGGTCAAAGCTATGGAAACTCTGTCTGCTATAAAATCTTACTGAAGATAAATTAAAGAAGAAAAACAAAGGATGGTGTAGGGATCTTTGTTATCAGCTTTCATGGCGGAGAAGACTTGGCCTGCAATGCAAAGCGAAGGAAATCGGACTTAGAAACTTGCTGCAAATTAGCTAATAGCTAGAAACATATGAAATTTGTTTGGGGCAGCTGCAACTGAATGGACAAATACTTGCAAATTTTAAAAAATAATTGTTGATATTAAAGACTTTTCTGAACTTCAATTTTTACAAACATACCATAACACCTTACCTATGCATCAAAAAAGGGGGATCATTTTTAAAAAGTTAAAATGGTGATATTATTTAAGTAATGTAAAAAAACAATGTTTAAGTTTTAGATATGTATATACAAAGGAATTGGGTGGCATGTATGGAAGTGCCCCTTTTATTGTAGTTGCCACTCTAAAAGATTTGTTGAAGAAGCTATTTCTCATCAGAGATATTGCCGATAACTGACCAGAAAAACTGCCCCAAATGAGCACTAATGAATTCAGATCCATTATACGACATATGTTTCTACCATTTCAATTTGGATTATTACATGATATTGAATTGAAAATTAAAACTGGAGAGTAATGAAGAAGGTCATAGTTTAATTTTTTTTAAAAAAAAATAAGTTAAAGAGCAATGGCATACAACTTCAGAATTTATTTGCTGAAGTTAGTTAATCCTATGAATGTTTTTAAAAATGATTCAATGTTTACCTTTGCAATGCATCTTAAATTATTTTTTCAAAATTTATTGACCCAGTTGATAACTTCATACAAAATGATGGGGATAAAATATGTTGGAGGCTACTTCTTCCTGCATCTAGAGATAGTTGTCAGTCTTCTTCCTCTTTGTTGAAGTAGAAAGCTCCTAGGGTTTTGTTTTCTTTGATCTTTGAGAGGGTTATTGTGGGAGAAAGGTTTAGCTTGTGGGAGAGACAGAGTGGAGCAAATTTCATTGTACTGCGAGGATTGGTGATTTTATGGAGAGTAATTGTTTGGATTGTAAGTTTTACTTTTTTTTACACTTATTTTCTTTCAATGATTTGAATGAAATGTTTTGTATTTTTCAATCCCTTGATGAGTAGCTAGAATTCTTTCATGCTCGTGTCATGTAAGGATAGGATGTTCTCGTGGTTTTTTTGAATGTGTTTTCCCCAAAAATGTTTTCTACACTTGTGATGTATACACGTTGTTGAGCTAACTTTCTGCACTCAGTTTACTCTTGATCTAACCACTTTACGGCGTTAAAACTCTTGTGATTCCGGTCTTCTAGGGTTGCCTAGTGGAACAAACAAGTTAACACGTGAAAACATGGTGGAATAAACATACAATCATTAGGATTTTGCAACCCAAATAAGGGATACAAAGAGTCCTGAGAAACATTGCATGGTTAAGTATTGCTTACCCGTAATATGATTTTCACATTTTTTTATGACTTAGATATAGGCCAAGGCTTCGTTTGAAGCAACGTTGTCATTTCACCATTTTTTTTAAAAGTGGGGTTCGCCGAATTGGAGGAAGCTAGTAGCGATCCGAAACGACGAAATTTTGTTGTTCTTACGAAAAAAACTTCGGGAGATGTTCGTTCCCTACTTCATCAAACAAAAAAATATACAGGCATCGTCATTTCCTCTAATCGAACAAAATTTCATTGCCTTCTCAAATGAAGCCTGAGAAGAATATTGTCCCTAATTTGCAGCTATCACGCAAGGGAATTCCTAAAAAAATCACGAGAACATGCTGCATTTGAGTCACAAGGGCATGAGCTTTACTCCCTCTGAAAAACACTCAAGACTCTTAGTTCTGGTTGTTTCTTGATCTTGTTATTTGTTGTTTGTTGTTTGTGCAGGATTGAAGAATTTTTATTCTTGCAATCGTAATCTCTTCAAACCAAGTTCAATATGATAGTAAACAAGGCATTCCCCATCAGAATTCATTTTTGACACTTTCCCTGTGCGATCGATATGCAGACTCAAAAATCGTATATTACTTGATACATATATTTGTGTGATTAACCGACTTATCTCACAACAATTTTAATCATCACAGAGCACCCGAAACATTGATATTTACAAATCAAGCACCCAGGTAATTTGTTGAACTAATGAACCACCAAGGTTATGTTTTGAACTACCGAAAAGATGCATTTACGCGTACCACATTCAAACCATTGAAACTTTGGTAAAAATGAAAAATATGGGTATTTTAGCTTTGATCAGACCAAAATCATTTTTTATTGTTCATAAAGTATTTAGTCATGAGGCATCTTAAGAAGATATTTCTTGAATTGAAATTTCACTAGTCATGCAAAGTGTACTAGATGGCCACATAACTTCTAGGTTTTGTGAAAGAAAACCCATCTAACCAAGTATGGTAGGATTAGCAGTATAGTTAGTAAAATTAATTTCATGTTTATTACATTTAATAAATTTATGAGTTTCATGAAATCAAACCGCGACATAAATAATAAAAATATGTTCATAATTTTGAGCGGATATTACATGTTCACATAACGGACTGCATGAGTGCATTTGAAACGAACTTAGTTAGGGAGAACACCATATTGTTTTTATTGATTCTACATACTCATGGAGTTAACCAATGTATTTTAGCTTGCCAAGCTTAAATATTTAAATTGATTGGCCAGGCAATCAAAATCCCTCCCTTAGGAGATCTATTAATACACCCTGACGTTCAACAGCACCTCTAGTTATTTTGATATAAACTGAGGCTATGATACAAATTTGATGCAGAACATCATAAAGTCTTATTAAAGCAAACACAAGATGATATGCACTAAGAACATGGAGAAGATCCAATTCACAATTTTTCAACTTTTATTTTAGCTAAATATTAATCTCCTATAACTCCAAACATGAAAGCGATTATGGTTCACTCAAAATAATATTTTAAAATTATTTAATACTTAAATTTTCATTAGAAATATGAAAATGAATAAGAAAAAACATAATGGTTTAGAATTCACAGCACAAAAAGACCGGCGTGCCACAAATTTAACTAACTCTCAATATCACACCAAAAAAACTAATCACAAAGATAAAATAGAGGGAACAATGGAGATATCAATTGAAAGGTCCATGGTACACAATGGTAGAAGGAAAAACATCACCGAAAAGATGACATTAAGCTTGAATCGCATGATGAATTAAAATTCTACTATAACACAAGTCTGAGAGAAAATGCAATTTTTATCTAATAATACATCAATGAAACCATGCCTCGAGATGCTATTTATAACCAAAAATAAAAAAAAAAATCAACAGCTCCTCAAAATGCCCCGATATTTGGTCAAAATTTGCAACTTCCAATTGAAAATTTTCAAATTTCAAACCTAAAGAACAAGTTTTAGAGCACTATGTCACCTCCCAAAAGAGCCCTTGTGGGTGGTGGGCAGCCCAGGACTTAAATACTGCTTTTCGGCCCTACACCTAGCCAATGTGGGACTATTTGTCTGTGACATTCTCCTCCACCCAATCACGTGACGCCCTCGTCACGGATCGGCTCCACCGAGGGTCCCACTGGACCATGGAGAGTCCACACACATGGTAGGCAGTAATCTGCTCTGATACCACTTGTCACCTCCCAAAAGAGCCCTTGTGGGTGGCAGCCCAGGACTTAAATACTGCTTGCTTTTCGGCCCTACACCTAGCCAATGTGGGACTATTTGTCTGTGACAACTAGCTATGGTGTAAGATGATGTTAAATAGAGTAAGATTCAAGGTACGGGATCCTACAAAGAAGGGAAGTAAAAAAAAAATGCAACATTAAGAAAGTTTAATGAATTAGGAAACTGGGCAAAGCAACCATGAATCCTTCATATCTTAAAATTAGAATAATCAACCACTAGCAAAATCAAAAACGAAAATAACAAATAAGGCAGGCATATCCAGTATATGTAAAATACTAGGTGGACTTCTAATCAATACAGTCTTGATAGAGGAAAAAGTGGATACCAAAGCCATGTAAGGGATAACAGAAGTTTGGAACATATGTTATACCAAGAAATCTGACAACTACTAATCAAGATAATCTGAAACAGTGCTGCAAATCCGCCAACGTAATCAAAATATTTCTCATTTTTATAGGCACAGACAACATGAACTTATTGCATTTAAAACAACTAGAGAGCACAAACTAAGACAACTAAAACTACATCGAACTCAAAATGTCATCGCGAGCGTCTCAACACCGCGCCTTATGTTTACGACAAACTTATACTTTCGTAATTCCACCAAAAGCATATCGTGTTGTCAACAAAGATTCATATATTAATATCACTAGAATGTTGTAAATTGACATCTCCAAAATGCATCTAAAAAGGAAGATAAATGCCCTGCAGATACTCTAAAAAGCACCTATAAACCAAAATTGTTATTTGTGCCTTAAAGTGTTATTTGGCTTTACACTTAGAGACAAAATGTGAAATGATTATATCCGTGATAGGGTTGGTGTAGTTTCTATGATGGACAAAATTAGAGAAAGTTGTCTTAGATGGTTTGGTCACATTAAGCGTCGACCATCTGATAATCCGATGAGAGTAGATGTTTTAGATTCGACTTATGTTAGGAAAGACAGACTTAGACCTAGGAAAACTTGGGATTATTGTATAAAAAAATGATCTTAATTTAGTAGAACTAAATGAAAATATGACACTAAATAGGACGCAATGGAGAAAAATGATTCACGCAGGCATGCAGCCGACCCCACGTAGTGGGATTAAGGCTTTATTGTTATTGTTATTATCCTCTAGGCCTTCTCTATAATACATTGTTCCTAAATTCTCCATTATATGACAACTCTAGTGTTATCCTTAAAATCTTAATATATCCAATGCTGCCTCCCATGCACATGTAGTGCAACTAGAAAGCACTGAAGGAAAAGCATTGGTCAAGGCAATGTTATTTTCTTGCAAAACAGCAAAGCCTCTCAAGAAAGCATATCAACCATTGTTGATCGAAAAAAAATCCCGGATGTCTACATTTAACAACATTAGTTAACGTAGGCATTTTGAATTCTATTACTATAAAAAAATTATGGGAGGTAGATGATTTTGGCATCCATTATAGACACTATTACGACAATTAATGATGAGATTGATGACAATCCAACTCTGACAAGAATGATGTTTCTTCTTGCAATCAATTAATGAGTAATGATTTATCTCACAAAGCAAGGTTACAATAAATAGCACCACTAACATTTCATAATGACAAGCTAAATCCATATACACCTCCCAAGCTATTTTAGCATCATAATTATGGTCATATGGCAAGCTTTGTGAGAACTAAGAGATATTATGTATTATATTCCTTACACATGACTAATAATCATCACATCCCTCTATAGCACACATAAGCAACACATCTGAATCGCTGGAATCATTGTCTTTAATCATTGAATATTTTCCTTTATATTTCATTTGTTTTGCTATTCTCACCAACCCATAGAAAAAAAAAGATCACAATTATTCTCATCCTCCTATTCTTCAAACCCCCAAATGAGTGGACTCAACTCATCCAAGTATGGTGATATAACACTGCTCAAACATTGGTCGCTCATATCAAATGTCACACTAAAGACTTAACTATTATTGAATAAGGTTCCGATAGAGCAGCTGATGTCTAAAATTAAAACTAACAAAGGCATGGTTCAGTTAGGGTTATTATCACCTTTATCATCATTTGGCCTTAGCCCCTCCATCTACCATTTTTTAGAGCTAAATAAAAGAGGTGGAACCCCATTAATGGAGAGTAATATACTAAAAAAAGGTAGATTATATATGGGGATGGGTTAGATACCAAAGGCAATAGTTGCTTGCATCCATCAATTGCAACGAGATGTCACACTAGTTGTTTTAAGAAAATATCCTCTATTGTAGATAAATAACTCCCACGTGAATGTACGAAAACTAAGCTCTTTGAAGAAATTTAAAAGAAAAAAATTTAGAGACACCAAGATTTTCACCTTCTTCCGCATCTAACGCACCCTCTACTATCCAGTCCGAGCAAAATAGGTATGGGCCAATGCAACTCTTCTGATAATTTTGATCATTCACACCGAGTCCCCAATGATTTTAAAAGCATAAACCGGAAAAAAAAAACAAAGAATAATGGCAACACTCAACAACCAAAACCTAATGCTAAATAGCCTATAAGCCTGCAACACATGAATAAATGCATATCTAGTCTATGTGTGCCCCGATATCTGATTATAAATCCAAGAATTGTTCCTAAAAAAATTAAGCCATTTCAATCTAAGGAAAACTGAGGGGGTTATTTGGCAACTTCTGAGATTTAAGTTATTAGGATTTGCTAAATCATGCAAATCCAGATTTAGTAAATTCTGAAATGGTTAGCTCTCATAAATTATGTGGTAATAAATCCAATTAAATCCTATAAAATTGTTTGAAAAAGGCTATCAAATTTTAAAAGTTAACTAAATTTGTTAGAAGATAGAAACCTAATTAAACTTTCATTATTTCATTGCTATGATATTAATTAATTAATTTTCATTCCATTAAAGTATTAAAAATTTAATCAATCCTTTAATGTTTAAAAACCAAAACCATAGAGAAAAGTAACCATCATCTTTCTATGCGCGCACTCTAATAATCTAAACTGAACATAGAAATCAAACAGAAAAAATAGCCATTTTCTTCGGGGTTAACAAAGCACAAAAATGTGGATCTCATCAAAATAGAGAGTAATCTATCAAACATGCTAGCTCACCTGGGGCCCCCTTCGTCCCCCTCCTCGCAGGCGCGGCTTCGGTGGTGACAGAGGATCGCCTTGCCAATTTCAGATAAGCTAGAGACGATCCCTAATAAATAGAAAACGATAACGAAACCGATAACCCAGGGCATAAGGATGCAGCCAAGCACGAAAGTGATGGACCCACAAAGCATGAGCGCCAGAGAGACCCCGAGGAAAAGTGAAGCGAGACCCGCACGGGAAATCTCTAAACGCTGTGGCGAGCCACAGGGGGCGCCGACGGAGCGAAAGAATATGTGGGGAGAACGAAGAAGAGCGAGGACCAGAGAGCAGAGCTCGTAGAAGAGCCCCGATTGCTGCTGCTCCTCTTCACCCATGTTCGGCATGAAACCCTAGAATTAATCGAGGAGAGATTCTGGAACGGCGGAGATTCCCCACACTTATTATTATTATTATTACTATTATTATTTTAGTTATTGACATATCTATATTATTATTTTTTTATATTTATATGTAAAAAAAATGATTTGGGGGCTAGTTTTATAAATAACAAAATTTTAAGTGTCATATATATTAATTAAATAGTTTTTTTTTTTGCAGAGAAATTATTTGGTCCAGTATTGTTATTATGGGCGGAGATATGGTGGGATAACAAACTCCTTCACCCCTTCCATAAATATACAAAAGAATCAGAATAATCGTAGGGTTTGTTTAGCTGCGGCTCGGGTGCTCTCGGAATCCTGTCCTCGTCTTCGCCGATCAAGGAGTGCGAGGAAGAATACGATGGCAGAGGACGCGGTTTCCGGCGCCAACGCGGTCCCTTCGGCGTCCCAACAGCCGGCTCCGGGGCCTATTGGGAGCTCGGTGATTCCGATTGTGAACAAGCTGCAGGACATCTTCGCGCAGCTGGGGAGTTCGTCGACGATCGACCTGCCGCAGGTGGCGGTGGGGGTGGGGAGCCAGAGCAGCGGAAAGTCAAGCGTATTGGAGGCGCTCGTTGGCCGCGATTTTCTGCCGCGTGGCTCTGATATTTGCACGCGACGCCCGTTGGTTCTGCAACTTGTGCACTTTGCTCGCAGGCCGGATGCGCCCGCCGGCGAGATGGAGGAATGGGGAGAGTTCTTGCACATTCCAGGGAAGAGGTTCTACGACTTTTCGGAAATCCGGCGTGAGATTCAGGTGATGAGGCGCAGCACTTTGCTTTACCGGCTTGTAGATCGTTCATGCCTGATTTATTTATTTATTTTTGTTATATTGGGAATATGCGCGAACCTTGCAGGCTGCTTGTTTTGCGACATTGGCTGTGTTTTTAGTTTATGCTTACATATTCTTTCATGCATTTTTGAAATTTAAAGCCATCAGATGGAAGTTTCTGTAGAAATTGTGCTTCATAGCTAGGTTCCTCTGGTAGGTTTTGAGGGATTTTGTTGCAGATTTCCTTTGCTAGAAGTTTCAATGCAGCAACGAGTATTTTCCCCAGCCAGTGAAATATGTTTTCCGTGATTGTAATTGCTTTTGTGCCTAATTCATCAAAATTGTGCTTCTAGACCATTTGGCAAATGTTCTATAACTCTATTGCTGTATTGACTCATGCACTTTATGGCTTTTGTTCATATTTCCAATTTATCTATGGGTCAATGTTTCGTGAAATTGAGTAGTAAATCTACAGGCTGAAACTGACCGTGAAGCTGGGGGTAACAAAGGAGTTTCAGACAAGCAAATTCGTTTGAAGATTTTCTCTCCAAATGTTCTTAATATCACCTTGGTTGATTTGCCCGGAATAACAAAGGTTCCAGTAGGCGATCAACCAAGTGACATCGAAGCTAGAATCAGAACAATGATATTATCATACATTAAGCATGAAACTTGTATAATATTGGCAGTTTCGCCAGCAAATGCAGATTTATCAAACTCAGATGCACTTCAAATGGCCCGGATTGCTGATCCAGATGGTAATTTATGATGCTTTTACTTCTTTTATGCTTGTATGTTAGAAATCAGGATTGTACATTTGTATTGTGATTTGTTTGTTTTGAAAAATAAAGAAAATTAAGGGGCATTTACATACATACTCAATTTTTATGTTCTTACATATCTAACACCTATACCTTGCTTTTACATTTATACCACCCAAATCTTTCATATCACCTAAAAAATGCCACTATTTTAACTTTTAGAAAATGAAATGCACATTTTCATGCATAGGTAAGGCGACAAATGTAAAAATTGAAGTTTAGGTGCTAGTTACATAAATACATAAGAATTCAGTAGAATATATGCAAATTTTCTTAAAATTAAAATGAAAAGTCATTTTGTTTAATATATTTGTTGTTTCAGGTTCTCGAACGATTGGCGTCATCACAAAGGTAGCATATTTATATGCCATTTATACTTCAGTAAATCTTATTTTTTTTGTTTTGCTAAGCTGAATTATCTCTTTATGACTTACAGCTAGATATAATGGACAGAGGTACAGATGCACGAAACTTTCTACTGGGAAATGTGATTCCTCTTCAACTTGGCTATGTGGGTGTGGTTAACCGTAGTCAACAGGTAATGACCCATATGTTTTTTTATAATTGCAGGTTTATAACTCTATACTCTAAAATTTCAACCTAGAGTTATACCTATTTTGGGAAGTTTTAAAAGTACAAATCAATGTGCGATAGCGTAACAAAAAAGTTGTATGTGTGTGGGATTTTTTTAGGGGGGGGGGGGGGGGTTTTTTTTAAACCCTGCCATTATAGTTGCTTGAGAAATTGTTTTCTTGCTACTTTTTAGAAATTCCATTATTTTTTAAATTTGTTTATAATTGCAGGTTTTTCCATTATTTTTTAAATTTGTTTATAATTGCAGGTTTATAACTCTATACCCTAAAATTTCAACATAGAGTCATACCTATTTTGGGAAGTTTTAAAAGTACAATCAATGTACGATGGCGTAACAAAAAAATTGTATGTGTGTGGGGTTTTTTTGGGGGTGGGGGGTTAAGGGGGGCTGGGTGCGTTTCTATTTATAATTTCAGGTTTTTCCATTATTTTTTTAATTTTTTGGGGGATAGAGAGGGTAAATAAATTGATTTTAGAGCGTAAAAGATGATGTTGAGGAGAAAGAAAAAAAACATGATGAGAGTTAGAATTTTAATGCCTTGTGCTTTGTGTCCCTTGCTTTATTTTTGTGCAAAACATGAGAACAGCGTTCCTTTGAGTAGAAAGAAAATTGTGGTTTTAGCATGAAAGCAATTCAATGATTTAGAGGAGAGGAAATTAGCCATGCTTAGAACTAGGAAGAAACTTAGAATTTCATTAGACCATGCAATCAATGCCATCTGTAATTACATCTTGATAGCTTTGTAGATTTTTGGAGCTACAACTAAATTCTTTAATTCAATAAGTTTAAATTATAAAAGAAGATAATTTAGATGATTGAGGAAGGCAAGGGGGAGATTTGGGAGATAATTAAGAACTGAGGATAATTATTTTATTCCCTCTTTCCACCTTGCTTGTGTGGATACCATCGTCAATATATTTATTATTATTTCAATAATAAATTATATGGTGGTAAAGATTGTTCAATTTTGATATCTTGAATCCATTGATTACTACTCTTTTTTTGGTTTTGTTTAGTCTAAAGCTGCGTGTTGCGAATCATGTATATCCTCTTACTAGCCTGGACTGGGGTTAGCCCAACTCAGTGTGAGAAGAGCCTTTCTGATACGTCAAATAGAAGTGCTTAGTTTCATATAATGTATAATAGAAGCAGCTCAACACAAAGTCTAGTTCTATCCAGTTTCAATACACCAAAGGGCTCAGCTTAGATTCATATAATGCGTAAAAGTAGATTAGCATTAGTTTCATTGTCAAATAGAAGTGCAAGATGAACCTATCCATTTGTTTCAAAAGCAGACGCTATAAAGGGATTTGGTATTTCATAATTCTGATGGAGAAAGTTTATTCTTTTTCGTTGTTGTTAGGAGGAGACTTTGTTAAGTGAGCTGACTATTTTCGGAAGCTGAATATAAATTAGGGAGATTTACGTACATACCACTCATTTCCCATGTATTTACATATCTAACACCTAAACTTTAATTTTTACATATAATCTACCTTACCTATGCTTGAAAAAGTGTTTTTCACGTTTTAAAAGATGAAATGGTGGTGTTTTGAAGTGATATGAAAGATTTGTGCGGTATAAATATTAAAAGTAAAGTTTATGTAAATAAATAGGTATTGGGTGGTATGTATGTAAATGTCGCTATAAAATATGCTTCTCTGTTTCTTACTGCTGAGGTACTAATGTGTTGTAATCTTCTGATTGAATAATACTATGACTCAAAAATTGTCATTTGTGAAATTTATGCCCAGTTAAGGCTTCCTGAAACTCCTATGTAACCTTAGCTACACTCTTGATTACTGATGATTCTATTTTTCTTTTGTATTCAGGACATCAATTTAAATCGAAGCATAAAAGATGCTCTGGCCAATGAAGAGGCATTCTTTAGACGTCAGCCTGTATGTAATTAGTAACTTGGTGAATTTGATTCTTGCAATTACTAGCTTTAATAGCTTTCCTTCTGCATTTTTTTTTAATATTCGAGTTTAAGCTTCACATCTTTGCTGATTAGGTATATCACGGTCTTTCTCATTGCTGTGGCGTTCCAAAATTAGCTAAGAAATTGAATCAGGTGAGCTCCATTTGTCAATTCTCTTGGTGTTTTTTTTTAATATGTTTTGGCTGGGTAAAGGTTACTGCAAATTATTATTAACTTGCTATTTTGCAATTCACATTTCAACTTTCAGAAGCCTGATATCTAATTAATTTAATGACATTATCTTGAAGTTGATTTAGTTTTTCATTCATAAGAATATTGGTTTTTAAGAAAATTTAATCAACTTGCTATCTGTTTGAATTTTATTTGGTTATCCATTTGTAAGATTATTGGTTTTTAATGAAAATTTAATCAACTTGCTATTTGTTTGTAATGATTCTTTTCTCTTCAGATTTTAGTGCAACATATTAGGTCAGTTCTTCCAGGATTGAAGTCTCGCATAAATTCCCAATTGGTGGCTGTGGCAAAGGAGCATGCTTCCTATGGGGATGTTGTAGAATCAAAGGTATGACCAGTACTAGATGTTGCATGTTGATGTTCAATTTTCAAAATTATTATTTCATTATGGCTTAGTAGAATGGAAAATTCTTTCATATGGAAGGTCTATTACTTGTACCATCCCAAACAGTTGCTTGACTTTGTTTTTTTACATCACAGTAAATCTAATATGTTTTTTTTCTTATAATACAAGTGGTGGCGGTGCATTTTATTTACCTTTGTATTTCCCTTCTCAAAGTATTTTTGATACTTGTTTGGTTTTAGTATAAACTTATGAAAGCGACCCACTTATATAGAAAATAACTCTACTTGCAGTGAATAGGCTTTCCCTTTCGATAGGTTTTATATAAATGAGTTATTTAATATTACGTTTAGATTGTTACATAAAGCATAATTTATTTAAATGATGAACATACTTCTTGTGTTTTATTTACTTTGTAAGCTTATTGTGGTAACTTTAAAAACACACCCATTTTTTTATGCTATCGAAGCACAAGCCTTTAAAATCACAAAAATTTTTCCTTGAAATTGCGGTTTGAGCATGTTGCTTTTCCTGACTAGCTATTGTGGGCATATGGCGCTAAAAGAATTTGTTGAGATTTGACCTAAAAAGCACAAATAAAAATTTTGTGGGAGAAGTGGATTAAATAAAATTTTCAGATTCTCCCAATAAGATGGATGTTTGGCATAAATAGAAAGAATATATTGAAAAATAATTATCACGGTTTTCTCGCCTTTCAAAGCTGATTTTTCTTAGAATTCAGAGTATTGCTGGGCAGCTTCTCTCTTATACATATATAAGTTTAGTCAACTGTGCATTCCTACTTACTGTCATTGTTATAACTTCATTTTCCATTGAAAGAACTGGTATTGACATTTTGGTACTATAGATTTCACTTGGACATTCTGCAGTCTCTTGCATATTCGATCAAATAAACGTAAACATATGCTTCTATATTGTTTGAATAGCGTAATGTCATTTATTCTGTATTACTTCTTTTTACAGGCTGGTCAGGGCGTGAAGCTTTTGAACATTCTTACAAAATATTGTGAAGGTAATGGTGATTTTTCTTTTTAGATATTTTTTAGTCTTGTTATAAAAAAAATGCTAATCTTATTGATCTAATCATAAGCTATGCAATGTTTGGTGCATGCCTTTCACAATATAATGAACTATCTGGGAGCTTTAATTTGTAAATGCTGTTCTTTTTCTTTATTTCTTGACTTACGTGTTGGATGTAATGTGGACAGATCTTAGAAAGGTTAACCATCAAACTGGGATTTTAGTGCATTGCAGTTTAGTTATCTGATTTATAAACTTCTCTTTTAAAGTCATATTATCTGTCAAATTAAAGCCAAAAAATTTTTAGGACGGGAACCATAAAATATATCAAACATCTATTATATCCGCTTTCTCATGTTATTTCATTTAAATAGTTTTTAACATCTCTATCATATCCGGTTTTTGTTGGCTTAATTACGCATTGGTTAATTAGCCATAAGTTTTGGGTAACAAAGTCTGGAAAAATTTTATGTGGCACTACTTTTTATGACCACTTTAATTAGTATTTTTTTATGTATAGTTAAATTTATGCTAAGAGAATCCGAACTTCCGCATTATGTGGTTTAATGTATGCCTCGTTTTATCTTTTTTTCGGTTGGTTTGTGCTAAATGTTGCCTAAGAACATTATGACTCAGGGTAAACAATTCATGCAATATTGCTGCTAGTTGATTTGAACATGGTTTGAAGACACCTGCAGAGTTCTCTAATAAAATGTTAAAGCGGTTGGTAGCGTTGTTACCATCTTTCATTAATCTAAATTCTAGATTTTGTGCAGCTTTTACTTCAATGATTGACGGAAAAAATGAGGAATTATCAACAGCGGAGCTTTCTGGGGGGGCTCGGATTCATTATATTTTCCAGTCAATTTTTGTGAAGAGTTTAGAGGTTGGACTTTCTTCTAGACAATGCAGGAGTGCTAATCATATTTAGATTCATGCATCGTATAGGCCCTTGTATTAGTTTTTAGTTTCATATAATTTTTTTTTGGATTTAATGTTTAACCTGAATGTTTTATTTTCTAGTTAAATGGACTCTTTAATAGTTTAATTTCATTGGCAAATTACTTCTGAAAAAACTATGAAGAAAAGATGGTAATTTCCACTTTACTTCAGGAAGTTGATCCTTGTGAGGATGTTAGTGACGAGGACATTCGTATGGCTATTCAGAATGCTACCGGTCCTAAATGTGCTTTGTTTGTACCTGAGGTAATTACTAGTAATCCATTTCTGAAACTAGAATGAAGAGACTGAATTGGTTTTCATTCTATTTCATTTCAATTCTTCTAAAGGGAAGTGTTTACCCCAATTGTGAATCTGATTAGGTGCCATTTGAAGTTCTTGTAAGAAGGCAGATTGGTCGTTTACTCGATCCAAGCCTTCAGTGTGCAAAGTTCATCTATGATGAATTGATTAAGGCATGTTACCATGCATCCACCATTTGAATATAAGAAGAATCAATAGTTTGCAAGGACATAGTGAAACTCATTTGTTTCTTTGTTCTGGTATTAGATGAGCCATCACAGCTTAGCTAATGAGCTTCATCGATATCCTGTTCTACGGAAGTGCATGGACGAGGTAATTGGAAATTTCTTACGAGAAGGACTTCAGCCAGCAGAAACCATGATAACTCATCTGATTGAAATGGAGGTATTGGATTAATTCATCAGTGTTAATATGTTGTCATAAGATTGCATTTGCTTTCATTGCCTTGAAGAAAAAAACCTGATCATTTAATTTAACAAATATATACTACCGAGTTTCTTCATCAGTAGTAATTGTATGCATTTCAGACTTATACTGTTGCAGCACTTGCATCTGATTTCACAATCTCTATTTTTGAATATTTCAACATTTAAGATTTGGGAGATTTACATACCACATAACTCTTATTTATTTTCATATACCTAAGTTTGATATTAATATTTATAACACTTTCATGTTATAAAGCTATGCATGAAAATGTGTATTTCACTTTTAAAAAATTAATAATAGGTGTATTTTTTATGTGATGTTAAACATTTGAGTGGTATGTATGTAAATATATAGGAATTGTGTGGTGTGAATGTAAATGCCTCATAATGATTTTGGGAACTTCTGTCCATGTTGCCATTTTGATATGCAATTTTTTGCAGATGGATTATATAAACACTTCACATCCAAATTTTATTGGAGGAAACAAGGCTGTGGAGATTGCACAACAACAAGTCAAAGCTTCGAGGTTAGCAACATCAGTTTCCAGACCCAAGGTAACTGTTATCTCATTAATCTATCTTAATAATTTTTTTTTTTTGAAGCTAGTACATAACTAGCATTATGAGTTCCATCCTGCTTTTCTTTCTCACTCTTGATGAAAATACTTATTAGAACTAGTAGGTATAGTGCTTAGTTTAATACTTGTTTCGTTGCTACTTATTTGAAAAGCTGATGCAAAACCTCTCAAGAATCAAAACTATATCAATCAAGGTGAAAACTTTGTGGATATTTTTGTCAAATCTTTGTAAATGTATGCAAAAATCATTTTGATGTCAGGTTTCTTTTATCGTAGTTGTTACTTATCTGTGTTTTGTAGTAGTATTTTTAATAGTAGACATCATCTTGAGTTCAGCATAGTAGATAAACATGCCTTGCATGATTCATCATCAACATTGGCCTCGTCCTAATTATTTTTTGGCCAGGTTATTTGAGGTGTTAACTATTCTTCCTAAATCTTTTTGAGCAACTTCTATTCATGCTATCTTAGGTCTATATTTTTTCCCTTTCTAATCCTTTCTAGAATTGGTGTTTTTATATAATTTGTTGTATATGTCAAATGCAAATATATTTTCAATTACCTTATGTCGAATAGATAGATGCAAATTATAATATTTCCATAATTCAATAACTTTTTTACTTTGATTTCTAATTTAATAATCTCTTTATTTATTTTTATTTTTACCTACAAAAACTCAAATATATAACATTGTTGACCGAATTGTAGTTTTATAAATTTACCTTCTAAGTTTTCATAATCTTCTCCTTTTACATAATACTTACAAAGCTCTTCTCTATTTTGAACCATCAAACTTATCCTGGAACTTGCTCAATAATATTCTCCTTTTTTTAATAATATATTTAACATACTTAAATTTATCACACCTAGATATCATTTTATGTTCGAACTTTTTTGATTGATAATTGTTAATATCACTAATAAAGTTGCATATCATGTATTCAATCTTTGCTCTACCAGTTTTAAGTCCTTTATCTTCCAAACATTTTTTGCCGTAGTTCAAATATTTCACTTATTTTAGCATGAATCTCACTAGTTAAAATTTTATCATTTGCAAAAAGCATGCACAAAGGCACTGTATTTTAAAATATCTATGTCGAGCATTTCCATAATCAAGATAAAGAGATACAAACTCATTGCTATTCTCAGATGTTATTTAATTATAATTGGAAAATCTTTTGTCTATTCACGATTACTTTTAATACCATCTATTGCTCGTTATATATGCTTTTGAAACACGTTTAGATTTAATGTGCACCATATAATTCTTAGGGTACTTGATTATGTCTTTTCAAGGTAAATAAAAATCATATAATTTTTTTTGTAAAATTTAGGATTTAATTAAAAATTTCTTCTAGTATACTTAAGACTATATTCATTCTATAATGTTTGATTTTACTAGTATCAGTTTATTTAGTTAGCAAAGTTTGATTACTTGCTTTGAAATTTGGTTAAGCACTGATGATTCTTTTTTCCTTGATAGTTTATCATCATTATCAGGTTTGTAAATAAGTACCGTTTGTGTTTGAAGACATTTTTAGTAACGTGCATAATCAAGATGCAAAGATAATCGCTTCAATTATTTCAGCTCAATATGGGGACAATTTAAGTTATTAAATATTGATGTTAAATTTGTGTACATATTTTTTTTGTGCTTATAAATAATTAACTGTCGTGACTCTATGTTACTGTTGATGTGGCACTTATGTATGTTATCTTCTTTTATTGTAAATCTTCTTGTTTGAAGTTCTGTGTGAATTAGCATAGCTTTTCTTTAAATATGTTTGCTTTTTTATAAAATATTTAAGATTTGTTTAGCAGGATGGTTTAGATGGTGATAAGTTACAAGCATCCGAAAAGAGTCAAAAATCTCGTGCCATCCTTGCTAGAGCTGGAGCAAATGGAGTTCTTCATGATCAGGCTCCGGTGAGCCTTTTGGCTTGATATTTCTTTTATAATATGTAATTTCAAATATTCTGGGTTGACTTTATGAATACTTCTGCTATAATTATCCTCACTGAGAGCTGCAACAACAACAATAACAAGCAGCTTTTGTCACGGATTGGGTTCAAATTATCCTCATTGAGAGCTATATTTCGAGTTAATTCAAGTTATTTTCTATGCTCAAGTGTCTAAGATGTGTCTTAAGTCTTTACAGTGCCTTAAAAAAAATCCTATATTTTACTGCATTATTAATTACCAAATTTTTTATAATTAAATTGGTAAACTTAGAGGGTTCCATTGATCTTATAACCCAATTTTCTTTTATGGAAATTTGGAACAGGGAGTGCGACCACTTTCAGATTCTGACAGACTGGGTTCAGTAGTCAGCAGGTAATCGATTGAGAAAAAAAAAAAATTAATCTACCAATTAATAAAATGCACAAAATCATCTTTTTATGCAATATGAAATTTCAAACATTTCAGGAAGTTCAAGTGGAAGTGGACCCATTTGGGGCATTTCCTCCATTTTTGGTGTTAGTGAGAATCGTGCACCAGCAAAAGAAATCTCGTCCAATAAGTCTGTTACTGTTCCTTCTCACAATGTGGAACATTCACTCTCCATGATCCAACCAAGAGAGGTTAGTGTTCTATTAAACTCAATGTTTGCTCAAGTTTGGCAATTAGATTACTTTCTTACAGCTTCTAAACCGTGGTTTGCTACAATATAGCCTCCAGTCATCTTGAAGCCTTCAGAAAATCAATCGGAGCAGGAGGCTTTGGAAATTTCCATTACAAAATTATTACTGAAATCGTACTATGATATCGCCAGGAAAAATATTGAAGATCAAGTGCCTAAGGCAATTATGCACTTCCTGGTAATTTATTTTACATTTAGTTTATGCAAAATCATAATATTCTGTCCTCGTCTGATAGCTTATACTAATGATAGTCATAATTTCATTTATTATTATTTTTGTTGCTTTGTGCTACCATAATTAATTGTGATCTTTATATGGATCTATTGCTTTCCAAGATGAAATTTGCATATTGGAAGTGTTTCATAATTATAGGCTGAGTGCAGCATGTATATTTGTAATGGATTTAGTTGATGTTTCTCCTAGTTTGGTATTCTTCAAACTTCACTTCATTTTTTTTTTGGAAGATTTACATGCATTCCACTCAATTCTTATTTACATACCTAACACCTAAATTTCAATTTCTGCATATACGCCACCCTACCCATGCATGAAAAGATGTGTTTCACTTTTTTGAAGTTAAAATAATGATATGTTTGATGTGATATGAAATTTGGGTGGTTTGAATATAAAAATCGAAGTATGGGTTGTAGTTATGTAAATGCATCAGAATTTGGTGGTATGCATGTAAATGCCCTTTCTTTCTTTTATGCATGAGTTTTTTCATGGCATTCAACTTTATTATGCTCTAAAATGGGCGAGTTTCATAAAGTAGTCTTTTTTTATTTATCTGTTCAGCATTCGTTGATTTATTGTTTATGAATTGATTTGGTATTGACCAAGACACGTAATATTAACAAGAAAAGTCGTTGTACCTTTTAGTTATCTCTTTGGGTGAATCCCATAGTCGACTCTCGTGTCTACTATTCAATGAGAGTGACAAAAAAGTTATATATAAAACAGAATTTTTTTTCATTAGTTTGGGTGTTCTTCATCTTGTCAATGAGTGAGTTGATGTTGTTTGAAGAGTTGTCAAAAGCGCATAAAATAACTTTCAAACATTTGAAGAGCAAATTTCTCCTTTTTAATGGGGTCCTTGCATTGATGCTCATATAAATTATAATACAAGCTTACTTCTATGAATGTTGTGTTACTATCTTGAGTTTTTGTGATGTTGGATGGGTTATTTTTTATCAATTTGATTTTGAACTTTTTATATATCTTATATATCTTGCTATGCAAATTTTTTTATACTAATTAACTGCTTGTCCACTTATTCAGGTGAATCATACAAAAAGAGAACTACATAATGTTTTTATCAGGAAACTTTACAGGTAACTACGAAGATAATCTTTAATACTAGTTTAATAAATTCATTCTTAAATTCATCATGGTTTTGTTCTTTATGCTTTTATGATTTTAGACTAATTCCAATTAAGTTAAGCTACATTTAACGTCTATTCTTTTAAACCAGAGAAAATCTTTTCGATGACATGCTTCGAGAACCAGATGATATAGCTGCCAAGAGAAAAAGGATAAGGGAAACACTTAGGGTTCTGCAGCAGGCCTACAAGGTAACACTTCTGCAATTTACCAAAGATTATTGCTTGGGTATGTTATTTTAACTATAAGATCCAATATTGGTGAAAAATGAATCTCTTTTTTTACCTTGGATTGAATTGAGTCCTGATTTTTGGCTCAGGCGGATCTTTTGACTGATTTTGAGCTATGCTTTAATTTGAATTGAACCGACTCGAAATCTGCTTAGAATATAAATACTATGTATAATTGTATTTATGCATCTATACACACATGCTGAGCTAAGAATTTGTTTTAGAAGAACAAAAATCAATTGAATCATTAATATAAATTGCTTAATATTATATTTTCTTGCTTTATTTTGATCCCAGACGCTCGATGAACTGCCACTGGAAGCCGACACTGTGGAGAAGGGTTATTCTCTTGATTCAGACTCAACCGGCTTGCCCAAAGTTCAGGGCCTACCTTCCTCGTTCTACTCAGCATCGAACGATTATAATTCACCCTACACCGCTTCTCCGAAGATCCAAAGATCAAGGAGATCAACCCACTCTGGAGAACAATTTTACCCCGGCTTTGATGCCAATGGGCCAATTTCTTATCCTCCAGTGGATGCTTAGTTGTTCTATTCTTTGATGGCTGATTTTTTTTGTCACACCTACTTTAAAATTGGAAGTTCTGGAAGGTTATTTTTTAATGCCATTTTATATGTCAAGAAGTATGTCTAGGGGGTCCTTGTATATTACATGAGGTCCACATTGCTTAGTTTCATTTTCTTAGTATTTTTTTAATTCATGGATTAGTAAAATGAGGTACTAGAAGACCTGAACATTTGCTGAAATTTTCATTGTCATCAAATGCAGAGTTTTGGTGGCTATCTAATACCAAAATAGTATATAATAGAATTATAGCTATGTTTTGAAAGTCATTGTTGTGAAGAAAGTTGCTTCTCTCTTTTGTAAAATTTGACAGTGATAGATTTGATATTGGATTTGCAATCTATTGCCTGTAAGTTGGGAATTATCAACCATGTTGATTGCTTGTGAATAATAAACACATTTATATTTATTTTGATTGCTGTTTTGAAATAGTTTTGTATGAAGTGATAACTGGAATCATATTTTTTTTAATTTTTATTTTTATTTTTTAATATATAATTTCCACTTATCATTTAGCAGCGATGATTTTGCTATGTAGATGACTCAGAATATTGATTGATGCCTGCTGATCATGATTTTATTTTTGTTTAGTGTTGTGTGAACTTAAAATCAAGCAAACTTGTTGCTACAGGATCTTCATTTTAAAAAAGGAAGATTTTCATGCATACCACTCAATTCTTATCTATATACATATCTAACACCGTAATTTAAATGTTAAGTTTTTTCATCTATACCACTCAAATGCGTGTTTGTTTCTTGTTCATATTAAGTACAATCAAATGGTCATCAAATAAGAAAATTATACACATAAACACAAACATATTTAACAAAAACAGCCCTCATGTTCTAGGGAAAAAAAAAAAGTTAAAAGCTAGTGAAAACTTCTTAGATTTTAAACATTTTTTATAAAATAAGAAAATTATATTTCATATTTCATTGTGATTATTTATTTAATAATGAAAATTCACTCTTGATATGTTGACAATAATCTTTTTTCTTCATTTCAAATATCACATTCCTTTGCCAATGATATCTGCTACTATTGTCCCAAGCTCTTCTCCAGAATCTTCCTGTGCATCATGATGGCCAGCCTGCAACTGCAAGTCAAGTTAAATGAAATAGATTGCATTACACTTAATCCTGCTAATGATAACCTTATAAAACAATTGAGCTAAAGAGAATTGAAGAAACCTTTGGCAGTTGTACTAATTTAAGATTTGAGGACTTGCAGAAATCTTCAATGCCGTTATAGCTCAACCACCGATCTCTTAAACCCCAGCACACTACACTGTTGATTTTCCAGGAGCTGCTAGCTAGAGCTGTTCTCATGTACTCAACATAACGCTGTTACAACAAATAAATAGAAGAAAATAATAAATAATTTCTTCTTTCAGGCATCAGCAATTTGCCTCCATTAGAAAACAAAATTTTCTTTGCATATAAAAAATTAGAAAACATAATTCATATTCATGTGATTTTTATATTACATAGTTTATTCAAAATAAATTAGTCTAATTGCAGAAGCTAAGAAACTAAACAAAATTGAAATATTGTCAGGATAAGGCTACCTTGAGATCTTTCTTCATGGATTTGCTGATTGCGTTTAGCGCAAAACCTGAAGAACCAGATGTAAGGTATGGTCTTCTATAAACCATTGCATCTTCCTCCAACATCATGTATGGCCCAGAGCTGGTCAGAACTTTATCACTGGCTCTAAGGGGATCCTGAAGTGGGAAAGAAATATAACATCATTTTGGTAGCCCCGCATCTTCTTCATAATCATCTTTTCAATAAACAGTTTGGCCAATAAATATTTTAAAAATCACATCTAACCTGGGAAAATATCTCACCCAGCAAGAAGGTACTGAATATTGAGAGGCTTGGTGGTAACTTTGCATGCTCTTCAGTTAGCTATTGCACGAGCAAAATGACATTTTTAAGAATTTTTCATAGTGAAAAAAATTTTGAAGGTTGTGGACATAATTTTAAAATTAGCACTTCTAGAAATAACTCTGGACTATCAAGGTTAGAAAAAATTTTAGAAATCAAACAAGTTGATCAAGGAAATAAAAAGCTCTAATCTTTTGAATTGCTTACTGGTGGATTGATAAGTATAAGATTCCTGATCTTCTCTTGATAATAACTGGCGTACTTGACAACTACAGGAGAAAAATATCCCTGCAATTAAAATTTGTTTATTCAATTTGTCATTCAGGAATGAAAAAAAGCTTCCTATAAATATAGCAAACGGACAAAGAAATGCTTCGAAATACCTGTACAACAAGGGATAGATTATCCGCTTTGAACTCATCAATAAGAGATTCCAAAGACGAAACATACTCTTAAGATACATTGAAATGCTTAGTAAGAGGGTGTAGATGTGTATTCTACAGATAATAAACATATCAATCACTCAAATTCTTACCATCCAGAGTATAATCAAAGCCATATCTTGGTTGAGGTTTATCTGAAAACCCAAAACCTATAAATAGAAACAATTTTATTTCATAAGCAGGTAATATTAACTATCTTTATGCAGAATATCGAGCACTTCATTATCCCTATAATAATTCAAATTTAGAAGCTGACGCCAAATAAGTAAAATAGCACAAGTAAACCTTCTCTTAATTCCAATTATTGAATATATTTAGTAATATCCTTAAAGTGGCGTCATAACTATTAAACACTTTCCTTGTAACGTTCACCAGAGTTCACCACAGGCTGAGACATATCTAAATTATGCACTCCAAACATCGTCATTGTTAGTGATGTTTATGTAAAGTTCAAGATATTTAGATACTAGCATGCCATTTCCCATAACAGTGCAAAAAGAATCCAACTCCCTATGGTGAGAAAAATTCATTGCTGCATATAGCAATGCCTTGAACAATAAAATTCAAAATAAACATACAGTAAACATCAAATGATCAAAGCTTTTATCATTTATTCAATCATTTGAATTTCAAAAATAAAAAATTTTAAGGCAAAATTCCCTAACAATTTAAATGTATGGACAGTTGTACCGATCCAATCAAAAGCAATGACGTGATATTCTTCAGCTAGAACAGGAAGAGCTTTGCGAAATGAATATGCCTGTTAGCAAGAAATTAAAAAAAAAAGAAAACTCAGCAAAAAATAAAATATTAATGAGAGTGAATAACATAGAAGGGATGACTAATGCTCCTTTAAGAATAGCTACATAAAAAATAATGATCATATTAGTCTTATCCCAAATGTTTAGAGCAGCTTTCTGAATCTTTCTTCGCAGATTACATATTATTTAATGCATTATGTGTGTTTAGCTACTAAACAAGTAGTATATTAACTTCATGACAAACAAAAATAACAAAGAGGGATAGATGCATTCTTAACCAAATTGGGATGCATGCTATATTAGGTACGAGGTCATGAATGTACACTATGGGTGGATGAAATCTCAAAAGACTGCCGTAATGCAAAGATCTTCATGAAACATACATGTTATTAGCTTCAAAATGAAATATTTTAATGTAATAAAACCAAGGTTGTAATAATCATCCTCATCATCACCATTAATATTAATTAAACTCTTGGTCAGTTTTATGAATCTTTCTTCTCCTCTTATTTCTTGCGAGTTGTTTGCATGTGGTGTTAATTTTAATTTTTATGTTTCTTTTCACAATTTTTTATTCATATTAAATTTTGGCGCTCTCTTTACTTTATAGTTCTTTTATTAATTTTATATACCTTAATGGCATATCTTTTACATTTCTTTGTGCATATCCAACCATTTGAGCCTACATTCTAGAACATTATTCTAAAATAGGTGTTATGCCCTCATCCTCTCTAATGCAATCTTTTCACTCTATCCTTCTTTTATTACATATTTGTCTTAAGATTGTCATCTTTCGCACAGTTGCTAATTTCATTTCTTCCAACCATTCAAATCACAATCTTTTCACCCTATCCTTCTTTTATTACATATATATCTTAAGATTGTCATCTTTCGCACAGTTGCTAATTTCATTTCTTCCAACCATTCAAATCCAAATAACGTAGATGGTGTTAATATCATATAATGCAATTTTTCTTTTTGATCCCCATGATGTTCATTACTACATAATGTTTTTGAATAACTTTTCCATTTTAACCATTCAACTTTAATTTATAAGCCATATTATCCTTGACATCCCTTCTTATATATAAGGAAATGGCAAAAAGAGATGCATTATTCTCATAAAAAGACATTTAATGCATCAATTTTACATACACAACCTCTACTTATTGTTTTACAAGATTATAAGAATAGAATAAGAGGAAGCCAGATGGCCATAACAACAAGCCTACACAAGGTCAAGCCCCCATGACCTCACCTACCAACTATAAACATCTACATCAACTAGGAGCATTGGCGCAAAAGTTCTGACCGAAGGTATTCTCCAACCAAAAATCACTATTTACTAGGCTAGTAAGGCGGTCCCAATATAAAATTATGTTGTGCAAACAGGCTGAAGTTTGATCCTAAAATGAAAGGACAAAGAAGAAGACATGAAGCCAAGAAAGAAATTAGAAGGCGAAGAAACAAAAAAAGAAAAGAGGAAAGTGAAGGGACTAAACATACTGAAAAAAGATGAAACATTCAACCCAAGATGTCTTAGTGTTTTTTGAGAACTCCCTTACACCAATGACTGTCTACCAAGCAAGAAAGAATTGAAATGATGAGTTTGGATGATAGTGAGATAAAATGCTAGACAAAATGGTCAAAGATTATGGTTTGTATGTGAAGAGGCAAACAATTGAATGACAGGAGTATTAACAACCACCCGATCAAAAAGGAGTGTATAGGTAATACAAAGTCTCCAACGTCTGTCCTTATCGGTCAGGCAGTCTATCAGCTCCCAAACTAGCTGCAATGCCAAAAGGGAAAGCGTCCCCCTTCATTTCATCATCCAAAAGGTCTCTCTCCTCGGGTGATAAGGAAGACACTCAACTAGAAGCCACAAAAAATACCGACGGCGAACTGCACTGAATCAAGCATCGAATAACATATTTTACAATTGCTAAATAATTAATCCAAATAAATATCTAGATAGAACGTAAGCATTGAAAGCAAGATAAGATAAGAATTAATAAGGGATAGATGAACCTCCCTCTAGATGGTTAAAATCATCCCAAAAAATCAAACATAACACATGCCGTACATGCACCAATAGACATCTCCATCGATGAAAGGGACATCCTAGCATTAGCAATGAGCATCCTAGAAGTAATTGCTACAATACATCACATAAAAGATCTAAGATAAGATTTTTTTATCATACCTACACCAAAAAGGAAGGTTGACCATATATCGGAGTTAGCCCGAACAATAATAAGTAAATATATATTATTACTAGAAAAACAAATAGGTAGTTACAACCAGCACACGGAAATAGAAATAGCAACAGACATGACACACAAACTGCAACTAAGGTGTACCGGCGGCGGCGGTGGTGGCTGTTGGGGATCCGCAAAGGTGACGACGAGGTGGGAAAGTGGAGCAGGTGGGCGGTACAACAAGGAAGCAGAAGATATTCACTGCCCCGAACATCACATGGATAGGTGGGCTGGGCAGAGGAGAAACAATGATCCGAAGTGGTGCTGGGCGGCTAGAACAGCAGCTAGCTGCTGGGTTGTCCTCAAAATTTTATCATCCTACCGACTATACTATGGACTCCATTTCCACTGCTAATCTTCTAGCATAAAATTGCTTAAAACATTCCCTGCTACCATTCCATATCATTCTCGTTTGAGCTCTAAGTTATATGTAACAAGTCTTTGACACTTGCCAACTTTTCACCACAAGGTTGGCTCAAAATTAATCAATTGAATTATAAATTTATCATTTCGCTAATTGTATCTCATAAAAATAACCAGAACATAGCTTTGAATAAGGTTCAACAAGAACTGATGATATAGAATTCTAAAAGATTACCGATTAAGACTAAAATAGTACTCATTTTTTCTCCCTTAACAATTTACCTAACAGCGCCTCAGAAATTCAACACAGTATGAAAATCATTAATAAAAACTACATGATAGAATCACATTCATGCACCAAATTTCATATATATGCATAATAATTCAGCCAAGGAAGTGAATTATTACAAATTCCAAAAGCTCCATACCTGAGATGGGAAGCCATGAATCAAAATGATCGAAGGGTTAGAACAGTCTCCAGCTTCAACACAAAACCATCTAACAGGATACAGAAAAGTGAAATAACATTTTGTAGCTTACAAGTTTTCACATATTAAAACACAATAGAGGCCTGTCTTAAGAATACCAGAATTATACGCATGTAGGTTTCTGAATACAATTCCAAGTAGTTAGTCCTATAACCATGGTGCACTGGATTCACCTGAAAACATCATCAGTGGTTTGAGAACCACCACCCATTGTAAGACCAAATATTGGATCTTTTGCTTTCCCTTTACTACTATTTGCAGGATGAGCGTTTACCTGCAATATTGAAAAATATTACAGTTGAATCAGGTATTGAAGCAATAATGAGCGTTTCTCTGATGAGGATGCAGGGTATTGAAGCAATAAACAAATATGCATTAAAAAACACCAAAGAATATCATAAAGCGTTAACTTAAACTGCTGTTACTAACTTCCATGCAGTCCTTTAATCTTACATTATATTGAATACAGCTCCTTCAACACTATGCAAAGAATGCTGGTAATGCAAATCTTAAAGTAAACAATATTAGGAAACGAACACAAAACAAAATCTTTACCAGATTGCAAATAAAATTTGATGGCTTCTCAAAATTTTCACCACATTACATTCCAATGAATGTGACTTCTTAAAAAGAAAAAAAACAATCCATAAAAGAAAAATTAACCATTGTCATTCACAATAACATATGAATATCAAGGTTTGTGGATCATTTGATGATTCCTAGTTCTCACAAACTGATGATCTTGCTTGGATAACACAAATACATTAAGATAAGAATTCATGAGTCAATAAAACTTGTTGATTTATCCAATACTAACAATACTTTCCAGCTGACGTCATTCTTTGTTTCAGGTTTACTGCCGGACTTCAGTAAATAAGTACATGCACAAGTTTCAACCATTAATCTAAAGTTTTGTCTGGTAATACTACGTTGCTGTTGTTGTACCATGTTGTTAGGTAAACTTAAGTCACTGCTACTAACGCAAGATGGAAAAATGCTTAATATTTTTTCCCATTATCAAGATGCCATGGAAGAGGCGTGCGTGTAATAAAGTGTTTTACATCATTGTTTCCTACAGAAATCAAATGCAATATGTAATGCAAACCCCAAGGTTGCAGTAATCTGAAGCAAAAAATTTGACCTTTGAGACGACAAGTTGAAATTTTGAGTGTTGATTTAAACTAATGTTTATTGTTCTAGGAATTCAAGCTTCAATAACTTTCTTTTACTTTTGAAAAGCAAGCATGTGATGTTCCCTTGGTTGCATTTTATGAATTTATACTACGGTTCTGTTCTCTAGATCCCTCTGTGACTTCTGGTTTGGTTCTTTATCGCTTAACTCAGGCAACCTTTACAAGAAGATTGCATGTGATCCATTATGGACCTTCCGTAAATCCTATTCCCACAACTTTAAAGTTCCTTTTAATCTCCTCTAATACAATATTCTTTCTTCCCTTCAATTTTGGTTCCTTGTGATCTGCAGGTTTACTTATAAAATCGGGTGACAAAAGTTTTGCGGTCTTTATAGCTCTGTCGATTAAAAAGTTAAACTGACTTAATAAATACAAAATTTATTTTAGTATGATTTAAATGACATAATAATGATGCAATAATAATATTATTATCATATAAATATATAATATTCTAAATCAGAATACTTCACACTTGAATATTTTAAATATGATTTTAGATTAAAATTTTGGAATATGATATTTTAATTATTTTCTCTATTTTTATTCTAGATGTTTTATTTCTAAGTACCAAATCAAAAAGAAAAAAAAATTCAATATTAAAACTGAGAGATTCATTATAAACCAAACAGATTCACTAATCCCCCCATTCAGCCACCGATATTGATTGTTTTTGGATGAATATACGTAAAAGCTATTTTGAAATTTGACCACACTGAACGGAGTACCAGTTCCCAGTTGAACAAATCAAGGAGGCCAAACCGATCCAACTTTTAAAACGATAGCGCAAACAACTTATTCTTTGGCTCAAACAGCTCATTGTACTATGTACACTAAAACTCAAGTAAATCAAGTATGAGAAAAATATGAACATTTTGATATATTTCTAAACAAAAAAAAAAAAAAACCAACAAAAAAAAAAGAAAAAAGAAATCAAGAAAAATTATAAAATATGGAAGAACTCAAAAATTAATAGAGAAAATTTAAAATATATATATATATATATATTTTTAAGCATGCTTAAATTATCTCACGATCATTTTGAAGCATGACACCCGAAGTTTCTCGCTTTATAAGAACCAACCAAATTTCCTAAAAATGCTAAATGAGGTATAAACAACAAAAACATTTGCGTTTACTTTATCCTACACATGATAAGAGTCGAGTTGATAATATTAGCTCCCACCAACAATCCAAATTACTAAAAAAACGAAAAACAAATCATTAAGTCATCCTAATTATAGAGCAATCTTATAAGCCCCAATACTCCGCGGCAATCCTTGTAGTGCTAAGAGTGGAGTTAATAATGATAGTTATGGCGCACCAAAAAGGGAGGAGGGATTAATTAGTGTATTCAAAATTAAATTTTATAATTAAGATTGCTATTAAGAAAATATTAAATGATTTAATGAGTTGTGACATTATAAGAAATATAAAATAAAGATGCAAGAAATATAAAGCATAACAAAAAATTTTTATGTGATTGGTCCCTCTGCTTATGTTCACTCCTAGCCAAACTCACATATTAGTATTCCATTATCGTAGCAAAAACTCCTCACATCTAGTGTGGTGAAGAAACCCACACAATTTGAAGTCATAAATCTAAAATACAAAACTTTTAATAATACAATTTTATAGCAAAAGCAAAAAAATGAAATCCAAATTTCTCTAATACTCAATCGATTAAATAACAAAACTTTTTTAAGAAAATCAACCTTACAATTCAGTTTTGATCGTCCCGTAATTTGCTTGCAAAGGATTTTGTGCATATCTCTCAATCTGGAAGGAGTTTCGATACACATTTGAAATCTTCTTTGCTCTTGATGAGAATGAGAACATGGAGATTTTCAATAAAATTTTAATTTATCTTACTTCTTATGAAAATGCCCTTTATTATAGATGTCATCGTTCCTTTAAGATTATTATTATTATTATTCTTTAATATTCTACCAAATTTAAATCTCCAAATTAATCAGATATATATATAATAATTTTCATAGTATCATTTCTATTAAGATAGTTGTTGGAGGCAAAAATAATTTGGAAACCAAGTAAATTATATGCATTTAATTCATTGGAGACAAAAAAAAAGGCAACAATGTATATTATTTTAGGAAGATTTACATGCATACAAGTCAATGCTTATTTATTTAAATATCTAACACCTAAAATTCATTTTTTTTTACATACATGAAGCATCCACCATGGCTCAAAGGCAACTTCATCTTCATCCAAACCAATCTTCGCAAACCTACCAGTCCATGCAGGCCGCCTAACGACTTCTCAAGCAAATCGCCACCTAATCTGAATTTCAACTCAAGGCAACATGTGTCTTGCATATCTAGGTCTTTTCCAAACATGTATCATGCATTCTATAGCAAAATGTCCCTTGCAAATCGGCCACCCAATTCGATTTCACCTTCTCAAGCAAATCGTGCATTCTTTTTCACACATGTAACATGCATTCTAACACTAATGATTAATGAAAGGATGAAAGAAAAAGTATACCATTTTCCCCCGAGCAAACCACTCGTCAATTTGACTTGGCCCTTTAGCATACTTCCCTGTTCCACCCATTCCTCAAACCTTTAACAATAGAAGCAAATATCGTGCAAGGAAGCATTTATAAATTCGATAAACAAATTCCTACCTCCACTAAAAGAAAATCCATCTCCAATTGAAACCGGCGCATCTACCAAATACTCCTGCAGAACTCTCCAGCAAAGACATACAGGGAATGAAACCTGCAATCCACGAGAATTGGAAAAGAAAAAAAGATCTTACCTCCTCGTTGCTGAGGCTCGACTTGCATCTGAACCCGAAGCCCTTCCGCTGGATACGGGGACATCCAGAAAGCCGGGGCGGTAAGAACGCCGAGGCGATTGTAAGCGCTGCCACCGCCATGGCTAGGGAAAGGTTTGGGATGAAAAGCTACCTGATAATGCAGAGAGGAGGAAGATAGGATTTCTCTGGTCCCCGCTTCCTCCGCGATTCCAATGTTTTTTACGAAAGCGCGGCAATCCAGTGTATAACGGTTTTTTTTGTTTTGTCTGTGTTATTGAGGTTTTTTTAAGGGTCCGTTTGGGCATCTTGTGCGTTTCAGTATAAGCTGTTTATGTTAAAATGTAGCCCGCGGACCAACTGCAAGGGTCGACCCGCTGGCTGAGTTTAGTGTAAAAACTCAAACGCAGTTTCGGATAAGCTGGTGAAACGCGCGAACCAAACAGTACGGCGACGTCTGCACTTATAAGCTGCCCCAAACAGACTGTAAGTGTTATTTGAGTGGTATTGTTGTTGACATATTATTGATATTTTATTTTTGAATGATATTGCGGTTTCTTAGCGGCTGGTGTTATTGAGATTTTTTTGTTTAGTTATTGAGGCTTATTGTAGTATGTTATTTGAGAGGCATTGCAGTTGTTGTGGTGTTATTGTGATTTTTTTTTGTAGTATGTTATTAGAGTAATATATCGTTTATTTTTTTTGGGCTGGTGTTGTTGTGATTTTCTTGTCTTATTGAGATGTTATTGAGTGGTATTGTAGTTGGTATGGTGATATTTTTGAATAGTGTTTTTTCAGTGTTATTTTTGTGTTATTGCGGTATTATTGCAGTATTAATGTGATATGATTGAGGTGTTATTTTGATTTTATCTTAATGATATTGTGATGATTTTGTTGTGTTATTGTAGATTAACGTTACTATGATGTTATTGCACTTTTAAGCATACATAAATATATTTTCTTATGTGATGCAAGAATTGTGTTGTATGTATACAAATGCTCAAAATTAAAATATGTTTCTCATGTGATATAAGAATTGAGTTTATGTATTGCATTTTTTTATGTGATACAAAAATTAGCTTGTATGCATGTAAATGCCCAAAATGAAAATATATTTCTTATGTGATATAAGAATTGGGTGGTGATACCAGATTTGGGGGGTATGTTTATAAATATATTTTTTTATGTGATACAAGAATTAAGTGGCATATGTATGTAAATGCCCAAAAATGAATAT